CCCCGGCACAGTCTCCCTGCCCCCCTCCCCCCGCCCCTGCTGTACCAGTTCGTCATGTCCAGGAAGAAGGCGCAGCCGGCGGGGCTAAGCTGGAAGCCAAGAAGCCGCTGGAACTCGCCAATGAGCACGTCCTTGTCCGTGGTGCCCAAGCAGCTGAACTTCTGCATCAGCTCGGCGTCCAAGTCCACGTCCATCCCCTCCATGGCGCCGGGGCCCCCTTCGCCCGCGCCAGCCCGGCCACTTGCACTAGGCCCCGGGCCGCCCGTAAGCCACCACTGCCGCCTCCTCAGCGCTGCATGGGGGGAGGGGGAGCGAGCCAGTAGTACGCAGGGCACGCCGACGTCGCCATCGTCATCACGCTTCGTGACCTCACAGACGTGATGATGTCATAGCAGAGGAAACCAAAATACAAACATCTCAATGCGGTAATGGGAGGCGGGAGTAGTTTTCATATACAAATAAGAGGTTCCTAGGTTGGATGAGCGAGACTTTTTTTGTTTTGAATTTGACTTATTAGGCTTGCACAGCCTGATCGTCTACATGTTTACTTCGGAAACAAGTCCTACTGATTTAAATGAGCCTGCCTTCAGTCTTAATGTACTAGAAGCGAGATTTCCAACATTATAGAATTCAGCAAGTTTACGTGCTCAAAAGGAAAATAAAATGAAGGTCGGGCAGTTGAAAGTGTCGTAGCCCCTCTCCCATTCATATTTTACTTGAAAATAGTCCTACTGAATTCAGTGGGTGTTCTTCTTATTAAACCAAATGTCCATATGATAACAGCCATGGTCTTTAAAACTTCGAACAGTCCGAAAAGTTTTAACAGAAGCTGATTGATTTGGCTTATCGGAATGGTCTAGTTTTACCAGAAAAGTCAGTGTTACACAGATCTGCAGAAGCAAATTAACCCCACATGAGCAGTGTGTATGGGATTTGCCCTGACTTGAATAGCCCAGTCTAGCTCCATCTTATCACATCTTGAAAACTAAGCAGAGTCAGCCTTTGTTATTATTTGGATGGGAGACCACCAAGGAATGCTGGGTCTGCTACGCAAAAGCAAGCAATGGCAAACGTTTGAACGTTTCATGCATTGAAAACCCTATTGAGTCTCCATAACTCAGCTGCAACTTGATGGCAAATATACGTGTATATATAGTTCAGTGTATTGTATATTAATAGCTGTATTTACTTAAGCAAAGTTAATACACAGATCAAGATGGGTAGCTGTATTAGCCTGTCTGTAACAGTAGAAAAAAACAAGAGTTCAGTAGTACCTCAAAGATTGACAAACTTTGTGATAGGTCTGAACTTTCATGAGTCACAACTCACTTCTATGGATACAGCTATAACGTGACTTCATCTGTCCTTATATCTTGAAGAGCGGAGTGATTTCAGATGCTGAATGACAAAAGCAGAAAAATAGCAATAGCAAGTGAATGACAATAGCTGGCATGATTGGATTAGGTTTGATATGCAGAGGGGTAGTGGGCACGGAGAAATCAGCATTGGTAATGTGACAGGAAACCTAGGGCTCAATTCAGTCCAACAGAATGCAGTCTTGAGCTTCATTATCAGTTGCAAGTCAGCAGTTTCTAATTTCCCTTTGAAATTCCTTTGTAAGAGAACTGCTAGGTCAGCAACTGAATGTCCTAGAAGGTTAAATTGTTCCCCCACCGGTTTTTGAATGTTGTAGTTTCTAATGTCAAACTTATGTCCATTTATTCTTTGTCGTACGAACTGGCCTGTTTGTCCAAAGTAGAAAGTAGAAGGGCATTGCAGGCACATGATGGCATAAATCACATTAGAGGATGAGCAAGGATATGGGCTGATGAAATCACATTAGAGGATGAGCAAGGATATAGGCCGATGTTGCTGGGTCCACTGACATTGTTGCTAGGATCCTTATGAGCTGGGTCCACTGACGGTGTTGCTAGGATCCTTATGAGAGCAAAGTTGGTAACTTGGTTTGTTGCAGGCCTTGATACCAGAGTCCATGTTACTGTTAAGTAATTTATCATTCTGGGTGAGAAGTTGTTTTAGGTTAGCAGACTGTAAGCAAGAAAAGGCCAGCTCCCCATTCCTGTGTGAGGGAAGTGTCACTATCCAGCATGGTTGTAGTTGGTTAATAATATATTGAACTGGCTTGAGTTGTGAGCTGTAGGTGACCACCAGTGGTGTTCCATTGTAGTTTTCTTTGGACCTGTCTTGTAGCAAGTTGTCCCTGGGTATCATTCTGGTCTTTCCAATCATCTTTCTCACCATACTAGGATTATAGTTGCAAAAATGCCTGTGGTAGATCCTTCAAGTGAATATCTCTGTCTGAGGGGTTGGAGCAGATGTAACTATATAGCATAGGGCTTGGCTATAGACAATAGATTGTTTGCTGTGGTCAGGGTGGTAGCTGGAGGCATATAGATATGTTAGCCGATCTGTCAGTTTCCAATATAATACTTATGTGTCCCTCATGTATCTGTACTGTGGTGTCCAGGAAGTTTATTTCTTGTGTAGAGTCATTCATAGTTTGATGGTGGAGTGGAAGTTGTTGAAAGCCTGGTAAAATCTCTTGAGGGCTTCTTTGCCATGGGTCCCCACAATGAAAATGTCATCACTCATCAATGAATCTCAAGTAAAGGAGAGGTGCCAATGGGGAGGAGTTCAGAAAACGCTGTTCTAGATCCACCATGAAAATGTTGGCATATTGTGGAGCCATGTGGGTGCCCATGGATGTACCATGATTTGAACGTATAAGTTCTCACCAAACCTGAAATAGCTGTGGGTGAGAACAAACATACAGAGTTCAGTGGCAAGATCTGCTGTGGCGTTGTCAGAGATGATGTTTCTAATGGCTTGTAGTCCATCTTTATGGGGGATGTTGGTGTACAGAGACTTAGTATCCATGGTGGTTAGAATGCTGTTTTCTGGGAGATGATTATGGACTGCAGTTTCCTCAGAAAGTCACAGACGTAGCTGGGGCATTAATAACGTATGGTCTCAGGGTGGAGTCCACATATCCTGATACTCATACAATGACGGTGCTTATGCTTGAGACAATGGGACGTCCAGGGTTGCCAAGTTTATGTGTTTTTGGAAGGAGGTAGAAAGTACCCAGTCAAGGTTCTCAGGGTTTATCCATATAAATTTGTTCCTGTATGTGTGTCGGTAATTTCTTCATGATTTTGTTGAGTTCTCACTGGTATTCATGTGTGGAGTCTGAGGACAGCGGCCTGTAGAAACCAGTGTTTGAGAGCTGTCAAGTAATTGTAGACATTTTCATTTTTAATATAAGAAATGACCATGATCCGAGATAAACAAAATCTATGTAATTGCCCCTGGCATAATTCTACTCGTTGAAATTAAAGCAAATTAAGACATCTGGTCCACATATGTAAATTGTTTCACAACTAATAACAAAAACTAGTCATATGGCTAATAATTAAGTGATTCATAGTGCAGTCCTATGGACACTTTCTTGATAGTAGGCCTCATTGAACAGACCTGCATAGAACTCTGAGTAGATCTGTTTAGGATTTTCTCTCATAGTGCAATCCTAAACAAGGTAACACTTCAATGGACTTAGAAGGGTGTAACTCAGTATAGGATTCACTGCTATTTCAATTCAACTTTTAAATGTGGAAAACACAGGTGCATTGTTTATAATTATGAACATGTAATACATTACTTTCTAAATAGTACTGTATAAAATGTATGAATGATCTAGGATTGCCAGGTCTCTCAGACCTGCCGGCAGGGGATGGGTGGTGAACTTAGCGGGAGTAGCGAGGAACACAGAAAATATATGGGCTGTGCCTACATGTTTCGGAAGTGGTGTAGGCACATCGGGAGCAATGCCCTGGTTTTTGAGCAAAACTCTATGGTAGATTTAACTTCTACCATAGAGTTTTGTCCAGATACGAGAGCGTCACCCCCAACATCACTGACGTGCCTACAGGTGTTAAATAACATAAAGCTGGGTATTATATTAAAGAACATCGAGGAGAGGATTGCCCCTTTACGGACCCCACATAGTAAGGGGTACCCTCTCTCAGCGCCATCAGAACATCGAGGAGAGGATTGCCCCTTTAGGGACCCCACATAGTAAGGGGTATCTGAGCGATACCCTCTCTCAGCGCCACCCTCTATCCCCGACCTTGGAGAAATGAGATAAGACACTTCAAGACTACCCCACGGATTCCTATTTCAGCAAGGAGGTGGGTCAAAAGATTGTGGTCGACCATGTTGAACACTGCTGTGAGATCTAACAACATCAGCAGTGCCAACCTGCCTCAGTCAGCTGCCTGTGGAGCTTGTCTGTGAGGGTGACCAGAGTCGTCTCCATCCCATGGTCAGGGCAGAAGCCGGACTGAAATGGGTCCAGGGCAGATGTGTCATCTAGGAATCTCTGGAGCTGCTCTGCACCATTCTCTCAGTCATCTTGCCCAGAAATTAAAGATTCGAGACTTGGTGGTAATTGGTAAGAGCCAAAGGATCCAAAGTTGGCTTTTTAAAGAGTTGAATGACCACAGCCTCTTTCAGACCCTCCAGGTAGACCCCCAGATCTAGGGGCACCAGGAGCCTCTGTATCCTCTCACTGCTGGCTTTCACCAACCAAGAGTGATGGGTCCAAAAGGCATGTGGTCAGCCTAAGAGCACCCAGGATGCTGTCAACATCGGCCCGGGAGAACTGGGCAAACCTGTCAAAGACTGAATCCAAAGATGGCCAAGGGGCCTCCAATTCACTTACTGTATCAATATTGTCTGGGAGGTCGCAGTAGAGTGACAAGAGTTCTCAGCAAAAAAAGATCGCAAAAGCCTCACAGCTGATAGCTAAATTCCTAGTATTTTGGGTTCTCTCCATGAGATCTAATTACCCTAAAAACTATAGTTCTGGATGAGAACTAGCAGATGTGATGGAGACTATATAGAATCCCCTCTAAACAGCCTTCACCACCAAATCATAAGATTTCATAAAAGACCTATAAGATGCTCTTGCAGCTTCATCGCAAGTTTGCTGCCAAACTCACTCTAGTCATCTAAGCTCCCATTTCATCCCTCTGAGTTCTGGAGTATACCAGGGGTACTACCTAGGCAGGGAGGGTAGAGGATGTTTGGGGGGGGGGTAATTTCATCAATGGCTTCAGAAAGATGGGAATTCCAGTCCTCTATCAGCTAATCTAATGAATCACCAGGGATCATTGGTGAATCTGCTTGTTGCCTAGACAGGAGGGGGCTGGGACACTTCAGAGCGAAATGATCTGACCATGGCATGCTTCCCTAGCAATTAGCCCCACTGCATAAAGTTAA